TTATCTTCAACTGCTTATAGTTTTAACTTTCTTGAGTGTTCATAGAAATGTTTTTTCTCTTCTTTTTTTAAACCAGCTTTTAGCCAAGATGCTGAATTTTTTTTAAATACCACACATATAAATAAATATATACATATAAAATAACTAACTAAAAGAGCTTATAGTAATTAAGGTAGAAAACAGAGTTTTCTGTTGGCGGGCCGGACTTCAGTCACTCGGGGACCGTACTTGGCTTGCGGGCCATCAATTGAATAATCCCGTTCTAGGCCAATATCTCTAAAACTGGCTGAGGTGTAGTCATTTTTATCCTTGCCGTGGTGACTTTTTAAAATGGGATTGGTTTTAAAATATTTTTGTTATAGACAAACATCTGATGAATACTTTCAAAAGGTTTTGTTAAAACTAATCAACAGTTTACAGTACTTTGCTACCTAGAACTGTGCAGGTGTGCACACACAGACATGGGTATAAACATTCACCTCTGACAGAAATGATAACAAGCATCCATGTGAATAAATCTATGAAGGGAACAGTCTGCTTTATTAACAAAAAAAGGTAAATTTTAGAAATGTTTATAGGTGTTTTATTCAGAAAAACAAACCTTTTATAAACCTACATTGAACTATGTAATTGTATTTAAAAGCTATTTAATTTTACTGTTAACAAGCCAAATGCTCATTTTCCTTTGAGTTTTCAAGAAGGATTATTGGCAAATTCTGTTCCAGCTGTTACAGATTGTTCCTTCTCTCCTGTTCTTTAGTGCGCATGCGTACTGTAACTTTGTGGGAGGCGGGGCGGGTGCTTTCAGAGATTCGCTGAAATCTGAACTCGGCCACGCCCACTACACTGTTTTTCATAGAAAGACAGAAAGTACACGCTGCTGAGTGTAGCATAAGTATCACCAGCTGTGTGCCCACTCTGCGTGCTCAACATCATGTATAAACTTGTATCCTGCTTTAGCGGTCGCTGTGGGGCTTTGTCGGGACAGTCCTGCTTTCAGACTAGTTTGGCCAAAATCCATTTGGCAAGCAGCGGTGAGTTATGGAAACTAGAAAATACAGCGTTCAACTACTCGCTGCCAACTAAAAACTTTAGCTTGTACTTGTGTCAAAAACAGTGATGCAGAGGAAAAGACAATGCTTTGGCTTTAGTTTTATTGAGTTTCAGTTAAAAGTTAAAATGACTGCTGTTCTAGCTTGAGGTTTCTTTGTCGTCATATTTGTTTCATATGAATTTAGCAAAGTTAACTAGATTGCATAATTATTTTTGACATGTTTATAACAGCTGATATTGCAGCCTGAAAAAAATTTTTTTTGACTACAGATGCGAATTTTATGGTATTTGGTTTATCTAATAAGTCAGTTAATAAACAAAAGTAATAACAGCAACAAAACATACAGCAGTCATTATTTATGCTAAATTCAACCTCCAAGAATGTTGCTGCATTTGATTGTAGCAGTTTATATATATATATA